CCCCCTCCTTCTCTGAGGCCCTGCCCCTGCTCGCTCCGTCCTCCCTCCCCCAGCCTCACTCTCTTTTATCCGGCCGGGGGCAGGAATTTAGGGTGCAGAAGGGGTTCAGGACTGGGGCCAGGATTGGGAATGCAGGCTCCAGCTGGGCACCACTTACCACAGGTGGCTTCTGAGTGGTGGTGCAGGGGACTAAGGCAGGACTGACCCTGCACCACTCCCAAAAGCATCCAGCAAACTCTCTCCATCCCTGCCCCCTCTGCTCTGTGGAGATGGGGTACAGGTGGAGGGAGGGAGAGGCACCCTGAGATCAGTGCCCCCCCTCTTCTTCCTGTGCCCTACACAGCAAGCAGGAGGCTCCCACGGGTGAGGGGCAGCTCCAAGGCAAAGGGCAGGAGCAGCAGGGCAGTGCTGAGAGGGCAGCTGAAGTGCCAGCACTTGATAACCTCCTGGCCAAACCTCTCAGGATCACCTGTCAAAGGTTCCAAGATCTACCAGTAGATCCCGATCTACTGGTTGGTGACCACTGGCGTAAATGGGTAACAGACAAGCCTGAGCTTATTTGTTAACGTTCACAGTTACACACAGGCTCCTGAGGTGCTCCTGGGAGATAGTTGCCACCATGCACTGTTGCTTCTGATACTTGAGTTAATAGCAGGGATCATCCAGAGAGCTAGATAATGTTTGTCTTGGGTAATAAATGTATTCATTAAAACCTTCTCCTAAGACAGCATATTAGCTGGTTAAACAGTCTAAAAGTAGTCATACTCTTACCTGCGTCTCCTTTTATTCTTGCATTTAGCTTCTCATTTTCTATTTCCTGCCTGTCTCTTATACTGCAGACTCCTCTTCAGTCTCAGTATTGAACAGGAATGGCTATATAGCATCATTCTGTTGTTCGGCCAGCAGGGGACACTTCTAAATTACAAATATTGCTGTCTGATTCTCAGGCTAGGAAATAACTGATAAACCACAGAAATACACCTTAGTCTTGTTTTACCTTAAAATTTAAATTTTAAATTTAAATAAAATTTGGCTTCACTGCATTTTGAAAGTATTTTAGTATAGTAGCTTTCATTTCAAATTTAGTAGGAAACACACTTGTTGCTATCATGTTACTTACATATGTCAGTAGTCTGCTATTGAAAAAGGCAAAACATTATTAGTGCTGTAAGGTCACTAGCCAATAAGCGGGCAAGAATCAGTTAAATTGCAGAACTTAGTGTCCCTTGCTAGATGATAGGATTCATTCAGGTGGGCTCATTTTTTTTTATCTAGGGATAAATGACTGGATTAAGTCTTTAAATCTGGAATGATGTGCAATGGCTCTGTAATTGGCCTGGACTGAGATACTTTGGCAGCATTGATGGGAACTGTAGAGGAAGGATCCATCACAATGTGTCCCAAATTTCTTATGCACAGGAGAAATGCCCTTGGCATAAGCACATATCTCTTCTAACCTCTTTTTGCCAATTGCTAATGTTAAATAAAAATGTAAGTTGGTTAAACTCATCTGGGGCATTCTGATGTTTCTGTGACTTAGCTTACAGTCAGCTTCAGTTATTTAGATATGAGCACACTGCACAGGTCTAGGAGCAAAAGGTTTGACGAATTGTGTCTTGCAGGTTACTAGCATCTTGCACTATTTCTCCTCTGTCAAATATCCACACAAGCGCATTTCTGGAGAATGTTGGGAGATGGGAGAAGAAGAACAGAATAGTGTACCCTCCGCAGCTGCCAGGAGAGCCTCGAAGACCAGCAGTAAGAATTCACCTGTGAACTCTCTCTACCTACTTATATGTAACACCTAGTTGTTGCTGATTGGACTACCTCTCTGGATAATTGCACAAGATGATCATATATGATAACTAGTTAGCATACTCAGTCTAGGATTTAGATATTTTTGCTATCTTGTTTGTAACTGTATGAGCAAAGGAGGTTCATTTAATCTCAGAATTTAGAAGTGGAAAAGAGCTACTGAAGATTCAGCTTGGATATCAGCAGCTGTTTAGATTGCATTGTGCAAAACACATTCATTGGATAATCAAAGTTAATTGGATAATCAAAATGTTATAAGCCATTTAATGTTGGTCATTCTGCCAAACTAAATGCTGAGCCTTTGATGGAGGAAAGCAATATGAAAACAGAGTTCCCTCTAAGCCAGTGGTTCCCAATAACCACTGTGAACCACTGGCTGCTGGGCCAGAACCTGGCTGTTCAGGTGTGGCAGCTCAGCTCTGGCAGCCATGGCGGCTGATTTTGCCTGGCAGTGGCGCTGGGTCTGTAGTGGCAGCAGGAAGAGGTGGTGCCAGAGGCTCCATGCTCTGCACCCCCTCACCTCTAGCCACGGAGGCATGGGATGTGCTTAGGGAAGGAAGGAACATAAAAGAGGAGGGAGCATGCACGCTGCCAACGGCTGCTCCCCCTGCCCATGCAGCAGTAATGGGCTCTGGGAAGTGTAGGTCTGGGGTGGGTTCAAAGGGGTATTGGGTGAGGGTATGGTGTGGTCATGGGGCAAGAAGGTGTTGGCATGGGCTGCAGGGATTAGAGGTTAAAGGGCCAAAGGGCATGGGGTGTAGGTGTGGGGCTTTAAAGAGTGTGAGACTGGGGGACAAGAGGCTGAGTTGGGGCTAGGTGGACAGGAAAACATTTTATAATGAATATGCAAATAAAATGTTACCAGTCCACCAAAAGTTTGTGAATGGGTTTGCGGTAAAAAAAAAAGTCGGGAACCCCTGCTTTAAGCTGTGTGGCAGCATGGACCTGCAGTTTTGCTGCACACAGCCACTCCCCCCAGATTCCTCAGCGTTGGAGCTGTGGCCAAGGTGGGTGCAGCTACCACATGGCCTGCTCTGGCTGTAAGCTGCAGCGGTGCAGCACCAGAGCAAGCCACCTGCCCCTGGAGCAGTTTGGCAGCCACTACCAGCTTCCTGCAGCCCCTGCAGGAGGGAGTCTGACCCGGAGGGAGTAGGAGCTGGCTGGGATGTGTGAGAGGAGCATGACAGGGATGGGCCAATGGGAGTGGTGGGGGAAGCTTCCAGGCAGTGTGTCTGTGGTTTGCCTTCCCTGGGGGCTATCTCTTCCCATCAGCAGGGAGGCTGGCATTGGTGTGCCTGTCTCTAGGAGCATTGGGGGGAGGGGACGACGACTTGAACCTGCAACTCCAGGCTTGGGAGGCTGATGTGTTATCCATTAGGCCCTTGAGACCTATTCGTCCTCCTTACCTTCAGATGATGCCTTATCCATTAGGACTCCCTTCTGCCCACTCCTGCACCCAGTGGGGCCAACTGGTCAGTTTACTCATGGTTTAATCACCCTTGCTCTGGGGCTGCATGTGGGGGACCCTGGGGCTGGATCTGGCCGGGGCTGGGCTGCTGTCCCCAGGTAGCAAAGGCTGGACGAGGATGCTGTGGCCAGGCTGTTGCAGCAGTTGCAGGGTTGCCATGGCAGGGTCTTGGGGACTGCCCCAGGAGCACAGCTGCAGCCCCTGAACATAGCCATCAGATGGGGGCTGGAGCTGGGCTGTGGTGGTCAGATAAAGGCATCTGCTGCCACCAGCCCCTCTCACTATCCCAGCTGGGAGCGCGCACACGTCCCCTACAGCACGCCCTCAGCCAGCTCTTCAAACAAGCAGAGTACCCCAGCCAGCTCTTGCTGCAGCGCAGCTGGTTCTTCCTGGGACCACCCCCTTCCTTTCACCTCTGGGTAAAGTGAAACAGACAAAGACAGACCCTCCTGCCATGAGTAATTTGTGTTTAAAATTTTGAATTAATTTTTCATTTAAAAAGTTGCATGGATTTTGGGAATGACAAAGGAGCCACATCTGGTTCTGTACTGAGCCATGGGTTGCTGACCCTTCTGTTAAATTGTACTTGCTGGTGCAGCAGTGGTGCTGAGGTACATCTTTGGAGACAGCTTTTCTTATCAATTACTGATTTTGCAAGTTCCTTCTTTCTGAATCTGCCTCTGATGGGCTAATTAAGTTCATTATAGTACCAATGTAGTTAGCATAGTAGCAGAAATGATGAGCTTGCCTTGATCTTATGAGGTTTTTTTTTTCTCCCTGAGATCATAAACATTCCATCTTCTCAGTTTTACAGCCAAATCACCATTATTATAGCTTTAAAAAAACCCTTTTCTCTCTAGGAAATATTCCACTGTCGAAGGGAGATAAAATACAGTAAGGACAAGATGTGGTATTTGGCAAAGCTGGTAAGACAACATTTTAACTTTGTTCAATGTACTTGGTAGGAAAGTGCTTCTCAAACTGTATACATGTGACACCATTATGTTGCCTTGCCTAGAAGAGGGATGGGCCACGCTAACTGCGGCTCAGCAGCAGTTGGTGGTAGGAATTTTGGTCAAGGACGACAGACAGATCCTCCCCTTATGAAAAATTGTATGGCAATTGGATGATAAGACTTCTGCACTAAACGTTTTAGTGTGTGGTGAATAGGAATGGGGGAAGAAGGGCTAACATCTTTGAAATTTAATTATGATATCAGCATTGTTCCTGGCATTTCAATCTTAACGCTTTTCGGCCTTTTGTTCTGAAGGGTTTAATTTTTCTTTTAACTTTTCCTAATTCCAGATAAAAGGAATGTCAATTGATCAGGCTCTTGCTCAGCTGGAATTCAATGACAAGAAGGGGGCAAAGGTGATCAAAGAGGTATATTGCACAGTTCTTCAGTACTTTATCAAACCCATACCTATCATCAGAATTTCCAGAGACTTTCCTTTAAGCCCCCCATGATACTTTGATCCAGCTTTCTTACAACACATTTTTATTGCTCTTTTTAATCAATTTATTCTGCTCTGATTTGTTGAGGCATTAATGACCTCTGCATACAATATTTTAGTAACTATTCAAGGTACTATTTTAGTGCATATGGGTGTCGTCTTTTCATCATCACCAGCCTTCATGTCTCTAAACTTGCATCTTAAAACATGTTTTGAATTTATAAATTATAGAGTACAAGAAGAGAGAACAGTTGAGTCTTGTATTATTGTTTTTCTGTTGCAAAGGTCTCTTAAACAGATGATCCATTTGCTCACTAAAGGAGGCATCAGTTATCAATTAAAAAATAGCATAAAGTATGCCCCTTTTCACTTGGAAGGATTACATTTCTAGTCTATGGTGCATCATCCTTCATGAAGATGAACATTAGAATTGCCATGTTAGGTCAACCAATGGTCCATCTAGTCTTACATCTTGTTTTCAGACAGTGGCCAGTGCCAGACGGCTTCAGAGGAAATGAACAGAATAGGGCAATTTTCAAGTGGTCTGCCCCTGGCATCCACTCCCAGCTTCTAGTATTTAAAGACTTAGGACACTCAGAGCAAGGGGTTGCATCTCTGATCATCTTGTCCAAGAGCCATTGATAGATCTGTCTTCCATGAACTAATTCTTTTTGGAACCCAGTTACAGTTTGACCTTCACAACATCTAACAATGGGTTCCACAGGTTGACTGTGCATTATGTGATAAAATATTTCCTTTTGTTTGCTGTTTACCTGTTGCCTGTTAATTTCATTAGGTGACACTTGGTTCTTGTGTGAAAGGGTAAAAAAAAGAGATTTAAAACTGGTACTTGCTGGAAAAAAAAAATCTTAAAACTGCTTAAGAGCAAAAAAATAAATTTTCAGTTTGTGTCCCAAATTTAACATCCCTCTAAATTACTTGTAGAAATATTGTAAATATTTAAATGTTGTCATATATGCCTAGATTTTTAAACATAATTTAAACATTGCATTCCCTTTTGAAAATGAGATATCAGTTAGCCTTTATAAACCTCAGAATTTTATTTCTACGGCTAATTTAAAAGTTGAAACAGTTGCAGGTATCTTTATGGAGATGAGAAATTGCCTTGCTTTAATTCATGTTCAGCATTTCTTTTCTTTTGCTATAGGTTCTTCTGGAAGCGCAAGAAATGGCCGTGAGAGATCACAATGTAGAATTCAAATCAAATTTATATATAGGTAAAATTGTTTCTTATTTTTAGTGCCGAAAAATGTCTCCCTATAATGACCTGAGATGCTTTTATCCCCAATAAGGTTTTTTGATATCAAAGTGCTCCAAACTGGTTGCTGCCTAAAACGGTTAACTACTGTCCAGGAGCACATCATTCATTGCTGGAGTAGTGCTGCCTCCTGGTAATTCTGAGGAGTAGCTTGAGGCCGATGTCTCTCTGTGGTTTGCACCCTGTCACTTGTCCATGGTCCATGTGCAACCCTTCTCACATCATCAGGAACTGCAACTGGGCCCTCCAGCCTTGTCGTTATCCATGCTCTCCCTACTTCTGGGGGTGTTTAGCTTTTTATCCAGCCACCTCTCCCATGGTGACTACAATCCATTGTCCTGTGAGTGGGGAAACCCTGGTCCACTCACCTCTGTGGGTCCCAGGCCAGGGACCCTCTGAACTGCAGTCACTTATGGCATTCCTTTGTCTCTACTATTGCTATGTTTGCCTGGGCCACTTCCCTATGTCCACGGCACCCTGCGCAGTGTCAGCAGCCTATCTGGAGCTGCTCTTCTCCCCGAGTTTTGTGCAAGGTGCTATAGCAATGATCCCAAACGGTGGGATGTGCCTTCCTAAGGAGGGAATATCCGGGGGAGGGCCAGGCCTGTCTCTTGGGAGCATGGGAAGGAAGCACTACCCCCACCTTGCTCTGCCCCTCATTCCACTCTGGCCTGTCCCAGCTACCCAGACACTGTAAATCTGGTTACCTCCAGTAACCAGCTTCTGCCTCTGAAGGGATCGGGCAGAGCAGCTGTTGATGCCTGGAGGAACTCTCAGGGATGGCTCTGGGGACCAGTACCAGTAGCTTCCTTTTCCTGCCTTAAGTGTGGCTCCCCTTTGCCTGTCCTGCTCCACTCACCCCTTACCCCGAAGCATGGCTCCTCCTCCTTGGGCCCCACTTGCTCTCCCCTCTCTCCCCCCGGCTCCTGAGGGTGTTTGATTGGAAGAGTTTGGGGATACTGTGCTGTGGGGTTGCAGCCTATTCCAGATGCATTCTCTCCCTCCTCAAGCTTCAGGCAAGTACTGACCTTGCTGTGGCCTGCAGTTTTTATTTGGGCCTGCTGGGCCTTGATTAGCTGCTGCTTCTGCAGCCTCACTAGGGCTCTATTAAGCCCTTAAAAGTCTGCACGTGGTCAACACTATTGCAACTACAATTGTTACATAGTAAAAAGCTAATGTTAATAACCAGAGAACCTCAGTTCTCTGGTTATCTTCCCAGGGCAACAAAGAGTTTGGTAATTAAGCCTTTAGTTAGTACTAGTGGCTACCAGCACTTCCTATAGCATTTGACACCATTTTTAGTAAGAGATGTACATCCATCAGCACAGACTCTCTACTAACTGAATACAGATGGATAGTTTCACTTGGAGGAAGATGCTTGACTTCAGGAAGTATTAAATGGTGGCAAATAAGAAAAGAAGTCTGTTATGTTTCAGTGCTAACAGCTAGCTTTGACAGTCCCAGATGAGTAGAGATCAGGTTTCCATTCATCTGTAGTATTAATGCTAATGCCTATGCCTGTAATCCACCAAACAAATTAAATTTAACTTGTCTTAGAAGCATCTCATTGAAGAGCAGGCACATTTTTATGGTGTGGGGAAATGACAGCAAGGCCTTACATGGGAAAATACTAGGAAAATATATTGGGGGCAAAAAACATTTTTATTGCATTGTCTGGCCAATTCTTTATGCTCTCTGCCTCTGATTCAGTCCCTTCTCTTCCTCATTCTTTTCCACTGCTTAGTTTCTGTCTCCTTTGCATGTGCTGTCTAGTCAGCCTGGTGCCCTTTTCCCCTAGACATTCTGCGCATACGCACAAAACAAACCAGAAAAATCCAGTTGTCCTCTGAAGCTTTATTATAAACATGGAGACTGAATTTCAGTGTGAAACAAGAAGATTTTTATTCCACTTAAAGTACAAATCTGAACACCTCAACTGTGGAGTTTTAGTAATGTCTCTAACAGGACACTGACCTACAAAACTTATCAACAATGGTGGTGTGTGTAGTAATGTGTGGGGTTTTTTACGTAGTGTCACATTTTCAAAGCTCTATCCCTTCCAATAGCATATAACTTGCATTTAAATGTGAAAAACTAGCTAACGGTTATCTCTTACTTTTGAGCATTTGAACTTCTGTCAATCTCTCATTGGGGTAAAAAAGGTTCTAAATGAAGTGCTTTTAAATGCAGCCTTACATGCAGTCTTCTCACGATCTCCTATAATGTTTTGGCATTTACCTCTTGTGTCATCATCAGTCCCATGGAAAGTTCATTTCTCTTTTGAACTGAGGATGGTGAAAAAAGGCAATTGAATTGGCTTTTTAACAAGGGAGAAAATAACCCCTCACTTCATAATATTCATGGCTGCTGAAGTGGAAAGTTTGGGAGAAGGTGATTGAGCTGATTGGTGAATTACACCTCCCTGGGAGAGGCTTAAGAAAGGGGTCTTGTAATGTTAAACTTTTAAGGGAAACACTTAATTGAAATCCTTGTTAATGGAGTACTCCTAGGCAAAGCTAGCTGTTTAAAATCTATTCCACCCTGGTTTCTTTACTGCCCTGTGACACAGGTCCAACTTGTTACTTAGTCACTTCACTGATGTTTCTGTTATGCTACATAAGCTGGTATTCAGGAGTCAGAATGCTAAAAGCTGAGTGGAATTAGAGCAAAATCAGAAATTGTTACTAGTGCATGTGTTGTGGGATTAGGTTGCATCACAACTGTGCCTTATTCCTACATATGCTACTTGGCAGCAAAGTAAGACACTATAAGTAAAAAGTAAAATTTGTTTTCCCAAATGACAAAATACTCCCATTCCTACAAATAACACATTAAAAGCCCAGCACTCTATAGCTGACAGTGCTGTGTTCACCTTCTTGGAGACATTTGCAAGTCTCATAACTGAATTATTTACTTTCTAATGACTGGCCGTACTGTTTTGTGATTAGTGCATTGCACTGCCATCCAAGATCTAAGCAACTCTTAGTTGTCCAGCTGGAGGTGCTGTCGAGGGAAAGTCATTGAGTCTTTCTCATGTTAACTTCAGGTGACCTTAGTTGCAGAGCAGATAGGGTCCAAAGAGTCCTGCCTAGATCCTCAAGGTCAAGAAGGGTAAATGATTTAGAATAGATAATGCTATAGAGAGTAATTCCATGTTTGTAGATGATATCAACCTGGGAAGAGTTGTAAGAGATTTGGAGGCTAGGATTAAAATTCAAAAGGATCTGCGTAAATTGGGAAAATGAAGTAAATAGGATGACATTCAATAAGGACAAATGCAAAGTACTCCATTTAAGAGTTGCACATATACAAAATGTGGAATGACTGCTTAGGAAGGAGTACTGCAGAAAGGGATCGGAGGAGGGGGGGCGTTATAGTAGATCACAAGCTAAATGAGTCAATATTGTGACACTTGTAAAAATGGTAAAATTCATTCTGGGCTGTACTAGTAGAAATATTGTAAGCAAGACATGAGAAATAATTGTTCTGCTCTACTCCACATTGATAAGGTCTCAACTGGAGTATTGCATTCGATTTTAGACACCGCATTTTCAGGAAACGTAGACAAATTGGAGAAAGTTCAGAGAGGAGTAACAAAAATGATTGAAGGTTGACCTATTAGGAAAGATTGGGAAAAAAAAATTGGCTTGTTAGTCTAGGGACGCCTGAGAGGGGACATGATAGTAGTTTACATGTACATAAAAGGTTGTTACAAGGAGAAATATTGTTTTTTAACCTCTCAGGATAGAATAAGCAGCAATGGGCTTAAATTATAGCAAGGGAAGTTTAGGGTTGGACATTAGGAAAAAATTCCTGTCTGTCAGGGTGGTTAAGCCCTGTAATAAACTGCCTAGGGCGATTGTGGAATCTCCATCATTGAAGACTTTTAAGAGCTTTTGTGTGTAAAAAAAAAAAACAACAACAACAAAAAAACCCACCATTTTATCAGATGAGGTGGAGTGGAAAATGATTTCTGAGGAAGCGGTTCTGGCCCACGAAAGCTCATCACCTATTAAACCATCTTGTTAGTCTTTAAAGTGCTACATAGTTTTTCCTTTTGTTTTAGGGATGGGCTAGATCAGTGGTCTCCAACCATTTGAAGCTGCCGGGTGCCAGGGGGCGGGGACACTCACGCACCTGGGGGCGGGGCTGTGCATACACCACACCCCCATGAGCCATGTGCCTGGGGCCAGCAACCCTATGCACTGCATGGCCATGGGCGGGGCCGCTCATTTGCAGCAAGCCTGGGGCCAGCGTCCTGCAGAGCCACGTGCCCAGAGCCAGCACCCC